GCCACAGCACGGACCATAGCCAGCATGTGGTCTGCTAGCTAATGCTGAGGTGTCTGTGTAAGGCAGAGGGGACAGGGATTCCCTGCTTAGCAGGGAGTGGGGAGGGGAGAGGAGGGGGAGAGCAGGAGGAAGCCAGGCAGACGCTGCTGTGCCTGCAAGTCTGTGCTGGAGCTGCAGCTGGGGAGCAGAGGGGAGGGGCCAGCCCTGCTGTGGAGCAGAGAGCTCCGCCCAGCCCAGAGAGCATGCCAGGATGCTGGAGGAGTCGGATTTAGCTTAAACCAGCAGGGGGGCTGGGACAGACATTGCATAAACTGGTTTGAGCCAAATCAGTTAAGTCTGATACCACATTCAACCAGGTTTATCTCAAGCTGGGTTCAGCCATTTTCAAGCTGGTTTATGTGCACTGAACATCTGTTCTGTTACAGGTTTAAACCAGTTTCTGATCACTTAAACTGGTTTATGTATAATGTCTGTCCCTAGCCTAAGACCTCAGTGGGGTCTTCCCCAACAAGGGAAGAAGGCAAGCTGCCAGTGATCACACTTGCTGACAGGCTTTGCTGGGGCATGGGGGGAGAAAGGAGGGATGTTACCAGCTCCCTAATGTCTCCTGGCAAGAAAGCACACCTTTCAGAAACTTAGCTGTGTTCCAGCTAGGAGGCTGCGAACGTGTGTATGTCCCTCTTAGTGCTATATTTTTGTAGCACTTAGTTGTGCTACAAATACATGTCCGTCCTCAGCCTAGGTAATGCTTCATGTGAGCCAGTGGTGACACGTAAGTTGTGCACAGGGGTGCACATGCACCCCCTGACAGCCAGCGCTCCCTGCTTAGGTGACAGGTAGGGGGGCAAGCGGGAGTGCTGGTGCCCCCCCTGCAAGCACTGGCTGGGGAGTAGGGGTGCCAAGAGAAGCACCACTGGCACTTCTGGGAGTGCTGGTTCATGTGAACAGTCGCAGGGTTCCCCCTCCTCCCCCCCGCCCAGGTGGTGAGATTGGCCGCGGGGGGACCCCCCGCCCTCATCTCTGACTGGCCGCTGTGGGGGCACGTTCCCTCCCCTGACTCAGGAGGCACCAGTTACCCATGATGTGAGAAAGGGATTCAGTTAATACGTACTTTCTCATTAAGGGTTCTGTACTGTAAAATTAATTAATTGCTTAGATACAGACTCTTGAAATGTATACTCTGTTTTACAAGAAAACGGAATGGAGTCTTTTGCATAGTTTTACTGTTAATTTTTATCCTCCAACAGCCACTTCCAACCAAGCAATGAAATCCCTGTTAAAGTAAAAATTTAAAGTTTAGGTTACTGCAGTAAACAAAGTTGCAAAAAGTCTCCAACTAGTTTTGTAAGAATTACAAGTTTGTAAGATGTAAAAGCCTCATATTGTGTTCTTTTTGCAACTCTTTCACTTTTTAGAAGGAGCTGCTGGTGATCAGCACCAAGAGGTGTTTCATAACGAGAAGATTTAGATTCCATCTTTTTCAGTAGCTATTGAGGACATACTGTAGAAGTCAGAAGTACAATGTACTTCAACGAAGGAGTCTGTAAAGCTGCCTACTTTGAAACATGAGCAATATGCATATGTAAAAGTAGAATGACTTTGGATATTTTAGTGAGACAAGCAAAGCACCTTTGCCTTCTCCAAATATTCCAAACTGTCTTTGTGGATGTTTTAGTTCCATCAAAGCATTTCATCCTGCCTCAGTCTTCTTAAAAAAAACCCCAAAAAACAAAGAACAAAAAAACCAAAAACCTTATAATATCTCTGAGAACTAGATTGGGACTCTTGCATATAGGTTGCTGGTATAATTCCAGCCCAGGGGACTAATGACTGTTTCTGAAATATGTCAAATCTCAGTCCAAATCTTAGTAAACAGGCTCACCCCAAGGAACTTCCCCATAGTGTGTCTGCTGCTTTCCATAGCAAAACCAAAGATTTGAGTACAAGGATGAAGATCAAATTAAACAGTGGTAAGTGTCTCTTGTGCACCAACCCAGCCAGCACTACTCTGACTCTTTATCATACTCCCTCCTTCTTTCATCAATTTCATAATCTGCCTAAAAGTGTTTTTCTTCTTTATAATTTTGATATCATCACTGTTGCACAGATCTCTTTCATATTATATTTTGATTGCAAAATCTAGTATTTTAGACAATCCCTGATGCCCCCTTCCCAGCATATGTTCTGCAGTAACAGGAAGGCAGAGGTGTCAGATCATGTAGCAGTATGTGTCAGCAGGGAGTTTCCCTATGTGAGGATAAATCTTTCCTCCTTGTTTACTTCTGGATTATCATTCATTTATGCCATCCAATGGGAGCAGAGAATCCAGGGTTGAGCTACAGAAACTAACCCAACATGTTGCTTGTCATGCTGGTTATACAGTATATAGTTAGCAGTGTCTTTTGCAGTGTTCTGAAGATATACTTCTGTATCTTTCAGATTGGGTCTAGTGCTCTTTTATTCTGTGTAGTTGTGCTTGAGTGTGAGTACTGCTCTCTGGGTTGACTAAGCAAGTTTTTTTTTTTTTTCAGCAGACCAATTATACTTTTTATTAGAGTCCTACCATTAGTAGTCAACAGTTCTAGCATTTACCTCAAGTGGAAACAAACTCGAATTAGACCCACTTGTTCTGTACAGTGTTTTCCATTTATCAAGGTATTTTTGAGATTGCCATGAGAAGTTGTCTTGGGGTTTTGTTTTGGTTCTTGGTAGACTGTTACAAGGAGCATTGTGTCCCATTTCATCTTTTGGTACCTAAACTATATACATAGAATTACACATTCTAGTTGAAGAGAACAGGAGCTCCTTGGGCGTAGACAGAAGCAACAATTTTCACCTGATCTGATCACAGGAAGCAGTCTATAGTCATGACCAAACACAAGTGCACAGCTGCAGACTGGTTCAAAAATGGCCAATTGGGCAAAAATCTGAATGAGGGTTCAGATGAAGACGTTTCAAACCACAGCATCTTCTGTAACTTCTGTCTGCGCTGCCTCCCAGCCTGTTGCTATTCTCAGAATGGGAGTGGGGAAAGGGAGCGGAGGGAATTTAGTCTGAGGTATTTTTCAGCCGTTGCTGGAGTGTGGGACAGGTATATTGAAGCCCCCCAAGTGAAAGGGGCTCCAGTTCACCCACCCCACCCTCCAGTGCTGGCCAGAGAACCCCTAGAACAAGTTCCCTCTGCTCCCTCCCCTCCCCCCCCCCATTCTGAAAACTGCAGCCTCACAGGGAGGAGGGGCCATTGCTGGGTGAAACTGGCTGCAGCCAGATCCCCCCCACAACCAACAGTGAACTTCTGTTTGGTTCAGGAGACTGTTGTAACTCAGAACACTTCCTGTAAAGCATTCTGAGTTACGGGGAGAGAGGGCAGCTGCACTTCTGTCTGTGCCTCTTGTAATGACCTAAATAGATATTATTTATACTTCATGATTTTTTTTTTTGTCTGATTCATCTCAAAGTTGTAAATCCAGTGGCCTTCTTCTTTTCTCCATGTTTGAAGTGTAGTTTGTGAACCACTAGCCACATCTTACTGTGGAGGTAAGATATCTTTAATGGAATCTTGGTCCCCTTGATGTAAATGGTAATACTCATCAACTGCAGTGGGGCTGATTTTTCTTTTCCTTGTGAGCAGGCAGTATGGCTAAGTAGGCATAATTTCTTTTAGTACTCTAAAAAGGCATTGAGGTGCACAACCTTAGAATAAACCCATGTTGGAAGCATTCTTGCTGTGTAAAAGGAAAAGTACAAGGCACCTACATTTATTACTTTTTTCTTATAACCTGTGTGAATATTCTGCTTAAACCTAGTTAATTAGGGCTGAGAAAAGGAAAAAGGTTCCTAGTGAATATTAGAGTTCCCTGCACTTTTAACAGGAAAATAGATTTCTGCAGTGGTTTAAGACAGCGAAGTGTGAAGAATGGGCATAGATAAGAACAGTAGACATTGCACTTTAAATTGGCTGACTTGTGAGGCTAATTTGTAACCTAATAATGTAACATTCAGACATTACACCTTCTGTCCCAAAATACCTGGCTCACATGGCAGTTTGCATTTTGCATACATTTAGGTTCATATTAGTTTCATCATGAATTCTGCTATTTGCTGAAACTTTTCATTTTTTTTTTTTTTTTTTTTTTTTTAGATCAAATTACAAGCTTTGTTCTCATCTTTGAAACTGTCCGGATACAGGAAAATCCCTTCTAATATATTTTGTCTTTATCTACCCTCATGCCCCTCTGCATACACACGCTAGCAGTAGGGTGCTTCTTCGGACTTGGAGGAAAGCCACTCACCCTTGTCCTATGTTAGGTATTTCCTATGTGGGAATAACAATTGTTCTTGCAGAGGAAGGAAAATACCCAGTGTATTATTATATCATCCTAAAAGCAGTGAATGCCATTTCTCCCCCCTGTCAATCTTTCTTAGTGACATTGTTATTTTCTGCATCTCAAAAGTCATATTTTGAGTACTGGACTTTAAAGGTATTTAGGCACCTAATAGGTGCTTTTGAAAATCTCAGCTACATATTTCAGCACATTTTTAAGAAGCTGTTCTCTGGGTAATTATTTTGAAAACAAGGATTTGTGTGTGTAAGTAAGAAAGAGTGCTAAGGTGTCATTATGTACCTTTTCTTTTTCTGGATGAAAACTGGAAGACAGGCAGTACTCCAATTGTATTTATAATTGGTAATATCAAATGTTTGTATTAGTTTAAATGCACGTGTCTATGTATGATCACAAGCCTTTTGGTTATTTTGGGCAAGGCCAGTAAATTCAGTAAATCCCACTGTATTTGTGGGATTATCATACTTTTATTTAAAGCAAATGAGACATTCTTGGGCACTTTCTTGTATCCTTTGAGAGGTATGTGCAATTAATAATTATTTTGCTTACTACTTCCTTCCTCCTATATCCCATCACAGATATTTTCCTGTCATGGATTTTTGCATGGCTCAAACATTTTTCTTTGCGTGTGTGTGTGTGTGTGTGTGTATTTTTATTTTTTTTAAAGCATGAAAACAGGAAAGGCTGGTGCTTCCTGCTCATAAAACAATACTTCCCATAAACTAACTGGGTTACAATCTCCTCTGAATACCTTTTTTTATTTTTTTTAAAGATGAAGGAAACTATTCATGAGTGCTTTTTAATTTGTTTTGATTATTGAAATATCTTTATTGTGAAGTCAGCACTGTTTTTTACAAGAAATGTTTAGTGAGGGCAGGGCCCCTTTCTGTTTTGCTGGCTGCAATATTTGACACATTAATCTAATAATAAGCGTATTTTTGTGTAACTGTATTGTCCCAACATAAACCATTTAGAGAATGCTGCAGAAGATTAACACATGTAGTGTTGAGTGGAGTATTTTCTTGCATGGTCTTTTTTTTACACCCATTCACATAGCAAAGGAGCTAAATAATATCCCGGCTCTGTTAAAGACGCCTTGCATTTCTCAGAAGAACTTCCTCATTTTCTTTCACCTGTGGAATACGAAACTAATCTTTTATACTAGTCTGTTTTCAAATATAAATGCACCACCTTGTTATATTGATGTTTCAGTTCTCTTGAACTTAGGATGAAATATGTTAGAAAATAAAATGTACATTAGAGTCGGGGAATTGAGCACTTATTCTGTAGTGGCTGAAAGAATTACCGTTGCAAATGCCTGGAAGAGAAGTGACACTCCTATAATCACTGACTGGTTCATAAAAGTTTGCAGTTTTAGTAATGGAAAACTTGTCCTATTAAGTCAGCATCCTCCAAGGGAGAAAGAAAAGGATACTTGCCTAAACATTTGATGGAAGTTCTTGGAACATGCTGAAAAAGAGTCTTCACTTGCCTCCAAGCTAGAAAGTTTGAGAAACTTCTTTGAATATTGAAGGAAAGAGCAAGTTATATGAGAAGGATCTGCCGGAGACTTGGGGGGAGAAAAGAACAGAACACAAGACTCTCCTCTCTGGAGGTTGAATTGAGTCAGAGGAGCACAGTTGATGGACAATATCTGTCTCTATATCTCAGGAGTGATATTGTAGCTGTGGTGGTCCAGAAATTACACAAGAGGCAAGGATTTTCGACCAATTACAGTAAAATCTCTGTTATATGGCATCCCTGGGATAAGGGGATTGCTGGTTATGTAAAAATTCTGATTATCAGAAATAACCTAGATGATCTACTCAGGTCCCTTCCGACCCTAGAAACTATGAAACTATGAAACCTGGCAGGGGGGTAGGGCAGGGGCGGTGTGGTGGAGGCTGCATGCTGAGCACAAACAGCGCAGGGTAGTGTGTGGTGGCAGTGGCCGCACGCCAAGCAGGGGCTGGGGGGTGGTGGCAGCCTCACGCAGAGCAGCAGCAGGACAGGGTAGTGGGTGGTGGCAGTGGCTGCTGCGTGCAAGCTTTCCCCTCCCCGTCCCCCATGTCTGGCTGGCCGCCCGGAAATTCTGGTTAGTAGAGCGTGCCAGTTAGTTAAATCCCAGATATTAGGGATCTTACTGTATGTAGCTGGGATAGACTTAGGCACACTTTTGAATGCAACATGTTCTTGTCTCGAGAGCTGACACAGAACATCTTGCATTCAAAAGCTTGCCTAACTCGATCCCAAACGCATAATCCAATAAAGGATGTCGCCCGAAGAAATCATTGCCACTCTATAAGCCTTTGGGTAGGACTGTCCTACCTTAATGGCAGGAAACGGTGGTGCTAACAGCATTTTCCTACATAGCAATCAATCCTATTTTTTTTGATGTACTATTTTTTTCTCTCTCTCTCTCTCTTTTTTTTTTTTTTTTTTTTT